TTAAGCAAATGGGCATCAAGGTGACCGGCACTGGGGAGCACTGAGCGACGGACACGCGGAGGCGAAGGCGATTCAGCGCTCTGTCGTCAAGATCATCGGCCGTTCTAGTCGCACAACGCGGCCTCTTCAACGTATCGCCATGGGATCGACGGGTCCAAGCGGGCAATCCCTCGGCGGCGTCCGCTACCTCCGTAAGATACTGCCATCATAGCTACGACGAACGGGCGCGGGTGGGCTGCAGTGCGCGCGTTCCGTTCGTGGCGTGGCGTGTGATTTGACCGACAACGGCACCTAGTGCGTGAACGAGGAGTTTGATCAGCGACAACTCACACCGGTCGACGGGCCCAAAAGCAACACTCATTTGGAGCGGAGGATCGCGTTGGTCACGGAAGGATGCAAGGTTGGGTGGGTACGGTACTTGAAGCCGTTCCCATTTGTAACGTTCTAGGCTTGCGTCACCTAAGCCGTTCATCCATGATACAAAGCAACGGGGAGAGGTGTATCTACCCCAATCAGGCAACGATCATTCCTCTACGATGCACAATATCAGGGCCTTAGAGTCGATGGACGTCCGTGGTTATCAGCATGGGGGGGTGTTGTCGCTCCTGCGGTGGTTGTGGGAACGGCAGCGTTCATTCGCAGCAGGTCAATCGCCGACGGCGGGGATTCAGGCGGTACTGTTTTCCCCGCTGCGGAGGCAGAGAAAACGACCCGGACAACCCGCGTTGGTGGCTGAAGCGGCGTCGTCGGCTGTGCCACCAACAGCGACGGCGGCGACCAGCGGCGGCGTTTATCTAGGAGATCGTTTGGGGACGCCGCGGGACTATCAAAACCGACAGCGGCGGAGGAGGTGGTTCGGTGGTTCGATGGTTCATGTGCATTTGGCAGCAGGGGTTGCACCAAGTCTACAAAACGTGATAGCATCGAATCTTTACCAACTTGAAGCCACGTGTGGAGGATGAGGTAACACAGCGATGCACGAACAAGAAGGGAAATAAAATTGAAATTGTCCACGATAGTGGGATGTGACTGATATGCACCACCGTCATCTCGCCGATAAGCACACCTAAATCTCGCGCATTACATGGGACGTGCACACTACGCGACAGGTGTGTAGTTTTACCATTTCCCAAGAGCAGCGAAGCTACACCATTTTCGTAGTCCGGGAATCGTTGAAGGTTCTTTGATTCACTGATTCATGTACGTGATTTGAGGCCGCCCTCATTGTTTTTTTCGACGGGCAGAACACGAAAACCCTAACCCTATACCCTAACCCTAACCCTAAACCTGTAGAACTTCGTTCTTCGTGGCGTGCTTTCGGTCAAAGGGCACACCCCAATCTTGAGCACGTACACAAACCAATCCGATCAGCCTCGAGTGGCAAAATCTCCTTATATTCTAATTATGCGACTGTCATGACGTGACTTACTCGGGGTTGCCGCCAGGTTGCAACAGCGCCAGGTCTGGCTGAACCCCGTGGTCTAGAGGTTCTCCAGGAGGTCGAGGTGAGGACTGCAAATCCGGTACGGTTGCCCTGCTCCTCATACCAATAGAGAGATTATCCAATGCACTTTGCCTCTCGAGGGGAGTCAGGCAAGTTCTCTCCCAGGGATGATAAGAATCTCCGCGAGCCTGAAGACATTATAGTTAATCAGTGCTATAGTAGACACGTACATGCAGTGCTCAAGTCCCTTCAACCTCGCTGAAATCGGGGTACCATCTACTGGGATTAAGTGGTTGGCCCCCCGCCCACCCAACGGGGCGGGTGGCCACACCGGGATGGACGACGGTGAGGGTTTGGGAGCGAGTTTGGAATAAGAAGGAAGACGACATGATAGTAAAAGAAGGGACGGCGTATCGAGACGCAATGAATACGTGAAGACGTTTGCGACGAGTGAGAGGGCACAGGAGGGTGAACGATCGGCCCCCGCGCCCCCAGTGGGCAGGGGGGGCACAAGGTGTGACAGATGTCGGGATGGGAATCTGCGACAACGGCCGACGTGTGTTGCGCGGCTACGGTCGATGCCGTCAATCATTTACATGTTATACTGTAGTACAGTAGTTCAGGACCAATTTTCGACCAGTTCATTTCGTGGGCAGACGAATACAGATAGCGTCCCAGTCAAGAAACGTCAAAATAGGGTCAACGCTCCATCCCTCATTTTTGGGTCGAAGAACCAGGCGAAGTCGTCCATTTTCAAACGAAGGCTTTCTTACTTTTTGGAATGTCGCATCCACCTCATTTTCTGTCTCAGAAGTACTCGCATTTTTTCACTTCTTCTGCCCTTTGATCTTTGAGGGCAAGCCACGTCTTCAAGCCCCCAAGAGAGGCGGTGGCGAGTGCCATCAAACCCGTACAGCATGTGGTTGTCCACGGTGTGTGGCAGTACGGCTCTCTCTCCCCCGTACAACAACACATGCTCTCTTCAGCTAGGTAGGGGGTGGGAGCACTGGAGCAGCAGCAGTGAGGCGTTCACACTGTACACGCTCCTCCACCTATCCGTTGTTTCTTAGGCCTTGGGGGTATCGCACCATCATGTTTCTTATTGAGGCGTTTCTTATGCTGTTGTCGAGTTTGAGCTGTGTTTCTCAGCCCTCTTTTCATGTTTTTCTTTGCAAGTCGAGCCTCTTTCTTAACCGAAATAATCTTGGCTGAGGGCGCAATCTGTGATCTGATCATTATCTTTCATGCCAAAAACTTCGTGTTCAAAGCATTCATTAGTTTTTCACATCCTTTATTCGGTGCTGTATTAGACGATCCACAGCATGATGAGGTACATGATACTGTTGAAAAGGAAAAGTTGTGACCCGAGAAACGAAAAGAAGTACTATACATACAGTATACAAGGTGCAACTCACCACCGCGTTGGCTCAGCGTGGCGGTGTGGATGCACAGACGGTGGTAGTGGCGAGAGGTGTGTGTGGACACTATTCCCGCGGCAGAAAATGCAAAGCGGCAAACTACACATAACAAGGTTTTCGTGTGATTGAGAGCCAAGTTTCTGATTGAGAGCGAGATTGCGCGATGCGCTGTAGCTGGACTACCGCTGGGAGGTGGAGCTTGCTGCGTGACTTGAATTGAAGGCCTAGCCCGTAGCTACAAGCCGATACCCTGGTCATCCTGTGGGCGTCTCTCGTTGTGGAGCTACAGCGGGGAGCAGAATCTACAGCAGAGCTCACCGCCCGCGATCAAATCGCCCTGAAACAGTTTGAGGCAGGAATAGCCAATCTGGGGAAATCTAGCAACTTGTCTAGCTCCTAGCTGCAGCATCCGATCGCGATGACACGCATATGCTCGTGACGCTGCTGATGAGACCTTCAATTTGCGCCGCTTCTTGGAAGAGCCCGCCCCCTATTTCCCAAGAAATGACAAGAGGCGTCTGGACCCGAAATTTCCAGGCTCCCGCTCTCAATCGTATACTCCGCTCTCAATCAGGCGAAAACCCTGTTACATGGCAACCACCGTCGCGGAAAGCGTGGCCCACGAAGCTGGAGGAGTAGAGAGATTCGTAAACACCACGTCAGTAAGCACCGCTTGTGGGACGAGGAAGACGACCGTGGGCACCGCGGGGAGGGAGTGCTGCACCCTCCTCGTCAAAGCACCACAGGCAAGAACCGATCTCTGCAGAGATGGATTGATGCGAGGAAACTCGCCGCTCGGAAAATACAGAAAAAAGCACACCTGCAACGCGAGGCGGACCGAGAGAGACAAGAGACCGCAGCGGCCGTCAAGGCGGCTGCGAAGAAGAAGGCACGAGAGGGCTACCTATCGTTCGGTACGTTGAACGCACGCAAGCTCGCCTACAGCGGTAGGCATCGGTTACCACGTGATGACGGTCATGCAGATTTGTTCCGCGACCGGCTGTGATGTGATAGGACCTCGGAGACCCGACGAGAGGGGGAAAGGTTCAATTGCACACGACGGGTACGTGATCATCTGGAGTGGCGCCCGTGCTGGCACCAAGGACAAGAGGGGCGTACACGGTGTGGGCATAGCGATCAAGGAGCCCATGTCGGAGAGTGTGGGCGAGGAAGGTAGGACGGTGGAGTGCATTAGCCCGAGGCTGATGAACGTGCGTCTCTAAAAAGGCCGCACGTGCGGAGCTTTCGTGGTGGGGTACGCCGCCACGGAAACTGTCCGCACAGGAAAGACGAACACCTACGGGTCGCCTTCCCAAACAGGGCCTCCAGCCGCCCTCCGCCCACGGCGCGCAGGATGCCAACGGGAGAGACCGCCGCCGAGCTGACGGCTACGGTGACGTCGGCCTCTGCTGAGACCGCGCCGCTGGCGAAGTTCGCACGAGGGCAGAGATGCTGGTACACGAGCGAAGCGCAGCACGGGATCTTTGAAGCGTCTAAAGAGACTTAAGGCGGCCCAGCAGCACCTGCGTTGGGCCTCAAAGAACACCGCCTGCGAGGCGACCCTGACGGCGACGCTTAAGGCGGCGCGGAAGAAGTGCAGCATCGTGAGGTGGAGAGAAATCACATCTCTAGTTGACGTTGAGGAAGCGGTACGGGAAATGGCCAACAGAAAGGCCGTACGGCCGGACGACGTACCAGTTGAGCTGATCAAGCCTTTTCTGGACGGAGATCAAGGTCTCCGCCGCGAATTCCACGGCACTGTCGTGGACGTGTGGCAGACGGGGGACGTACCACAGCAGTGGAAGGATGCCGCCATCAAAGTGCTGTTCAAGAAGGGGGACACGATGGAGTGCGGCAATTACCGGGGAATCTCTCTCGTCGCACACGCTGGCAAGGTGCTGCTTAAGGTCGTCGCTACACGACTGAGCCACTACTGTGAGCGAGAGGGCATCCTCACGGAGGAGCGGAGCGGTTTTGGCTCACACCGATCGACGCTCGACATGCTGTTCGCCATCCAGCGGCTCCATGAGCTCGCGAGGAAGAAGAGTACTGCGGTGATCGCGTGCTCCGTCGGCCTCACCAAGGCATGCGATTCGGTGGACTGAGACCGACTGTGGGACGTGCTCCGACGCTTTGGCATGCCCCCGAAGATGCTGGCGGTCATTCGCCGCTTCGACGAGGGCATGAGGGCGCGCGTCCGAACGGACGACGGNCTCCGACAGGGATGCAACCTGGCCCCGCTGCTGTTCAACTTGTTCTTTGCCGCGATGCTCATGGTCGCCGTGGCCGAGTTCGACAAGGACCCCAAGGTGACGACGGACATGGTCAAGATCGGGATAAAAGTCGAGTACACTGGCAAGAAGGGCACGTCGGGAGGGAAGAAGACGACGGTGGTGACGGACGTGGAGACCCTGTTGGCCATGCTCTACACTGACGACGCGGCCATCGTCTCGCGCTCACCGGAGAGTCTCGACAACATGATGTCGGTTATGGTACGCGTGGCCGGCCTGTTCGGACTGATGGTATCGGAGCCAAAGACGGAGATCATGTGCATACTGCCGAAAGGGATAGAGGAACGCCCGTTAATGATCAGCGCCGCCGGCCAGACATACAAGCAGACAGATCAGTTTGTGTATCTCGGACATACCATCTTCGCGGACGGGAAGGCCGACCGGGAGATCACGAGCCGAAGCTGCCGAGCGTGGAAGTGCTACCGCCGGAACGCCGGAACAGTGCTTCGATGTACCACGTGGCGACGGGCCGATCTCCAGCTCAAGATCCGGCTTCTCCAGGCTGAAGTGGTGGAGACTCTCCTATACGAGTGCTCCTCGTGGAGCCTAACAGTGGAGCACTGCACGAACTCAATGAGACCCACCGCCAGTTCCTTTCATGGTGCATCGACTGGAGCAATCGGAAACGCTCAGACCGCCCCCTGTCGTATGTCCAGGCCCTCATCAAGGCCGGCTGCAAGGAAACCATCGAGGCCACCGTGCGTAAACGGAGACTGTGTTTTGAGGGATTTGTAAGGCGCACGGAGGACAAGCGCCTCCCCAAGCGCATGCTGTTAGGCGCGATGGCGGAGGGCGTGGGATACCGGGCCGGGCAGGAGAACGACTGTGCGTCTCGTTGGGAGGGGACCTCGTGGCCTTCAATATGGGAGACGAAAAGGAAGGGGGGAAATGGAAAGAGAGCGCCAAGGACTCGGAGGTGTGGTACAACAAGGTCGAGGACGGGGCGGCATGGCTCATGAGGAAATGGCATAGGCAGGAGGCGGAAGCGTTCGCGAAGCGCCAGCGCGCGAGGGAAGCAGAAGCAGAGAGTACGGCCATCTCAGGACCGAAAAGAAAGAGAGCCGGGGAAGCGGCGGTGCGGGGGAAGGAGCGGTAGAGCGGCCGAGGCAGCGCTTGTGGCGAACTATGTACGCGGCTGGCGTTGTTGCGCCCTGTTTCCCTCCCTGCTGTATGCTGTACTCCTTTGTGTGTGACCTTTGTATTGCCTTCGGCATCTGTGTTGTGTTTCGTTTTTTCATGTCCTTCCTGCCTACTCTGCCGTGTTGAGTACCTTCATCTCGCTTTTGCCGTTGCCTTTGTTTTTATATATCTGGCAGTCCGCCCATCTGCCGCTTCCTTGTCCGTTTTGTCCTGTTTGCTCCGTTACTCCCATGCCCTGGTGCGTAGTTCCTGGTGCTGGTACGTTACCGTTTGGTTTTTTCTGTAGGTGGGTGTGAGAAGCGTCGTCCTCAATATTTGTGTTTGTTTTTGATCGGTCTCCGAGGGCTCTTTTCTCGACAGGTCGATGCGGTAGCTAGCTGTTCTATTCTTTCTATTCTTTTTTTTTTCCGAGTGGTTTGTACCCTTTTTTTGTTTTTTTTTCCCCTCGGCGTCGTACGTGCCGGTTTTTGAGACCACGGACTCCCCATTTATTGTAGACTATAGGGCTAATGTGAGAAGCAATAACAACATGTAGAGCGATTACAATCATTTTGACTTGGAACACATAATAACACCGTGGCCCCCATGGTAAGGAACCGAAAGAACAGTGAGTATTTTGTGTGCACCGATCAACCATATGTCCCGAGTAGTGAAGACTGTTGGATACCTATCGGTGATGGACATGCACACAAACGAATTACGTAGGGAGCTCTGGAGAAACGCTATGGATACGTACTTGGACATCATGCGGAAGAATAGGGAAACAGAAAAAGAGCGACCAGCCCAGTTTGCAACCCGGGGCGTGTCGAGTGCTGCGCGTGTATTCCCGACACTTACTCCAATGAAACTGTGATTCAGACGGCAATCCATGTATCTTAAGGGATGTAACGCAAGAAGACTACTACTGTAAGGAAGGGCGGGCGCACAGCGAGCAGGGTCAGGCACATTATTTGACGTTCTTTCGGCGGAGGGTCTGGAAGGTCCCGCGGAAAGCGGAGACTTCCCGCGGGATATCCGACCGAAAATTTCCGCTTTACGAGGGATGTCCCGCGGGGCTTTCCAGATATTCCGCGGAAAGCGGACACTTTCCGCTGAAGTTTCCGCGGAAACTTTCCAGTCTTCCCACGGAAACTGCGGAACTGAAATGTTCCGCGGAAAGTGTACAGCTTCCCGACCGATCGCTTCCAACCTGCCTACACTTGTACCCATGTGTCGTATGCATCGTGTATGTACCGTGTTAAAACTTGCATAGACTGTAGCAGCAGCAATGGCAAAGACCTCCCCCAGTGTCTGTGTGCATGCTGCCTCCCGTCATGTAACAGGGACGGTGAGACGCTTGGAGACTCGGAGAAACACCGGGCGAGGAGATGCTATCCACGCAGCAGTAGCAGCAGGTAGCTGCAGTCTAGCATGCATCTTGTCAAAGGGGGGGTTGCTGCTCGGAGTCGCTTCTTGCCGTTCGTTTTTGCAGCAATATGTCTCCACTGAGTGTAGCACCAGCAATGCTATAGCTACCCGACCGTAGCTGGGTGTCTGGAACCTTTCGTGCGATCGTTGTTCGAGACTGCGAAGCAATACGAGTCATAGCCAAAGAGTTGGCGAGAGTAGACACGTTGATATCGAAAAACGATGTATATGGCACACAGCTTGTTATTTTCTTTCCTTCGCTTCGGTCTCTCGGCTATACCTCGTCCCCAGCGAAGGAAGCAACAGGAATGATAAAGCAACCCATCCGTACCTGAGTGTGTGGCTCCTCTCGTGTGGATTTTTCGATGGCTTATGGCGCTGGGATGCTCAAAATTTGAGTTGCGAACATTCGAGAGCCAGCCGGTTGTTGTAATGATGAGCGAGGTGGTGCTGTGTCTTTTTCGTCCAGCTGAACATGACGCCGTAGACTACAGAACCCCCAAAGAAAACTTAGAGAGAACAAAAAATGCTTGATGTCCGGAACAATATCCGGGCGGTCCCGCGCAAGTAGCTCCTGACACGGCGTAGCGCGTGGCGCAAGACTCTCGGATCGTGCCAGCTAGCCGGAACAACACCAGAACACCGATGGGAAACAGTGTGTACGTGCATGCTGAAAATATACCGGATGCACACAGACCAGGACGGGTGAACCGGCAGAAGGTTACGGTAGTCTAGTTTACTTCCAAGTAAATACTTCGGGCGGCCAAACACCCCAAACAAGGTTTTCGTGTGATTGAGAGCCAAGTTTCTGATTGAGAGCGAGATTGCGCGATGCGCTGTAGCTGGACTACCGCTGAGAGGTGGAGCTTGCTGCGTGACTTGAATTGAAGGCCTAGCCCGTAGCTACAAGCCGATACCCGGTCATCCTGTGGGCGTCTCTCGTTGTGGAGCTACAGCGGGGAGCAGAATCTACAGCAGAGCTCACCGCCCGTGATCAAATCGCCCTGAAACAGTTTGAGGCAGGAATAGCCAATCTGGGGAAATCTAGCAACTTGTCTAGCTCCTAGCTGCAGCATCCGATCGCGATGACACGCATATGCTCGTGACGCTGTTGATGAGACCTTCAATTTGCGCCGCTTCTTGGAAGAGCCCGCCCCCTACTTCCCAAGAAATGGCAAGAGGCGTCTGGACCCGAAATTTCCAGGCTCCCGCTCTCAATCGTATACTCCGCTCTCAATCGTATACTCCGCTCTCAATCAGGCGAAAACCCTGTTCCCCCCGGTGTGGCAGAGTCCTGTTTAACACCTCGAGCTGCATGTCGCCCCACAAGACTCTATCCAATCGATACCCCAAGGCCTCAATGCGTGTGCCGTGTCGTTTCAGGGCTGGCTATGGTGGCACCCGTCGTGAAGTCGAAACCGTCTACATACCCTGGATGTTTGTTTCTGTTACGGCCCCGAGGATACCAAGGTATCCGTCGATAATTACTTTCCCCAGAATCTCGCAATACCGTTGCACAAATAACCGGGTGGAAGCCGAACGCTGTATTTTCTTTTCTCTCCTCAATGTTTCCTGCAACACAACAAACACTTACTACTTGGTATGTTGAGTCTCCTGCCCCCAACTGATCGACCTGCGCAAGTGCGATGCCTCTATGCTTGGCTATCAGGGTACAGCGTCAATAAAATCCTGCCGTCTAATTCCGCCGCTGCCGATTGTGGGCCGAGGCAGACCCACCGCCAGCGGCTGAATTCTCGCCTACCTAACAGGGTGAGGTATTTTTTTTCGGCTCCCTCAGCTACTTGACCCCACGGTATCACTATCCCAAAGAACGAAAACGGTATTACGAAAATGATACAACTCCGTACAAAAGATAGAGAGGGGTTGTCGGGCATGCCATTGTGCACGTAGCCGCTGCATACCGTCATTGAAAGCATGATGTCAGCCCTACGCCCATCTCGATGTCGCCCGCTCTATGTAGGTGGAGGACGTAAATGTAATTTAGCCGGCACCGTGGCAACGTCGTGTGACCGCCGTTTGCTTGCCGAAATCGAATTGTGTTTGTTTCTGGCACAGGAGCCGTCAACAAAGAAAAATGTCGTGTTCAATGTTTGGGCAGACCAGGCTACGAGACCGTCATGCATCAGATCTGGCCATACTGGTAAAGGGAGGCGTATTCTCCAGTTAGAACAAATAATACGTTACATCACGGGAGTATTGTTGCAGCAAACGTCCACGTGCCAAATGGACCTCGAATCAGAAGATGACGAGGCAAGGGCGTGTTCATGGTTCAAACTCTGTTTCAAATCAAGACACATTCTCTCATTGTAAATTCGCTCACGGCGCGTACTATTGCTTGTTATTTGTAGACTAGGCTTTTTGCTCCTTTTTCGGCCAAAATTCGACATTTTTCTCGTGTTCTTTCGCCCTGAATCATCCAACACGGCTTGGTGGCGGATGAAAATTCACACATGTCGGGACAATTGGCCGTACAGCGTAGTGCGCATTCCTCCGTTCCCATTGTTGGCGAGATGACGGTGGGGAACGTCCGTAAAGACTCCGCATGGCCGACAATCCGTATTTCGTGGGCTCTGTATCATCCCCCACCACTGTAATTTTACCTAAAACTGCTGAGGTATGGATACGATCTAACACTCTGTCCGCACGCTAAATAACAGCACACCGTCGCTACAAGTCCGATTAGGAATAGGAGAACACTTCCTCTCGAAGGTTGCATAACATCGGTGCTGCCAATTGAACATCAATGATCAACCAATCAACCAATCAACGGCTGTTGCGCCACATAGTATTTGGTTCTGGCGAAACGATCGTAGTTTCGGCAAAAGCCATAACTACCGTATATGACACAAGATATCACGCTCCCTCTCACGATTTGCAAAACTCTATTACTCCACGACGAAGAGGATGCATAAACGAAATGAAACATGTTCGAAAAGATCTCGACGAGACGGTTTCAATGCTGCCGTTTTCGGCGCTGTGACTCTTCCTGTTGCTGAGAAATCGAGCTTTGAAAATCGGCCAAGGGGGCTTGTCATCTTGTGTCATATACGGTAATAGTTGCACCGCGGCGATATCCACATCACCGACGAGCTCATCCGAATCGAGAAATGAAAACGTAAACATTGTTACCGTTAGGCAGACGGAATGACCTGGCGCGTAGACGACGAGTAGGGAAGGATCCTTCTTCGTCGGCAAGACGAATCCTCTCCACATCTATCTTTGACCGGAAAGAAAAATTTCACAACTATTGGTCGTCATCTGTATGCATGCATGCGTGTTTTGACATACAGAACGGGCCCGCAATTAAGATAAAATTATGTAAGAAAGGGAAACAAGGCTCAACTTTCACGAAAAGTAAGAAAACAGAGCTAAGAAACTCGGCTCATTCTCGGCCAAAACATAAGAAACGGCCCAACAAGAGACATGATCGTGTGATACCCTCCAAATAGATGTAAGAAACAAGTTGCTGCGGGAGTGTCGGTTTCAATAAGAAACGTCCCACTCATGCTCCTGCTGCCATGCTCCCACCCCCTACCTGGCTCATAACCAGAAACGGATATTCCCGGGTACTTACTCACCACTTTAGGGTACTTAGAAATCAATACGCTTGCAGCCCCGGGCTGTCAGCTGATTGGCCGAAAAACCGTTGTAACCATCTCGGAAGAAACCTCCATCGGGTACAACTACCGCTGGAATTAGGACCCTCTGGTGTGACCGATATTGGTTACTGGTGTAACCGGAAGAGGTCGATTTCGTACCCAGAAATGGTCACATGATCCCGGCGCCCGACGCTCTAGCATAGAACCTGCAGAAAAAACTTTACCCCACATACCGTGTACCGCACATTCATAGCCACAACCAAACCACCAACAACGCTCGCTCCTTCATCGCTTGTAGGCACCGCCTCCAAAAGGATACCGGCCCCTCTCAACAGAGGGCCGACTCGATTGACGCGCGAGTTCGTTCGGTGTGGCGCTGATCAGCAAAAGCACACAGCGAGAGAGAGAGAGAGAGAGAGAGAGAGAGAGAGAGAGAGAGAGAGAGAGAGAGAGAGA